AGGAACTCTGTAAAAAATGGCTGTAATTCCTAAACGGTTAATGCAATATTTTTGTTAAACCCCTTGAATTAAAGCTGAAAGTCTACACTTCAGTCACATCTTGACTGCTTCATTTCAAATCCACTGTGGTGGTGTACAGAGGCAAAATTACCAAAACTGTGTCACTGTCCCAATATTTATGGACCTGACTGTATGTACATATATATATATATATATATATATATATATATATATATATATATATATATATATATATATATATATATATATATCAATTAATATATTCAAGAAAAATGGCAAATGTAGTAATAGATTAACTTTAACAACAATATACATTTCTGTAATGTTTCATTTAACATTTAATGAAAAATGACTTTTTTTTCCAAATAAATTAATTATATTTACATTTGAACATCCTGTTATATAAAGTCATCATTCAGTGTCTTTGTATGAACTGTGTTTTGTGTAGACGACTGTAATTTCTTCATTTTTCACACAACCACCATCAAAGCCGTAACGAAAGAAAAGAAAAGGCGATAACCTGGATTCCCGCTAATTAAGTGTGTTTTTCATCCATCTCCCCAAGTGATTTACTTATCTCCGAATCTCTTCGAGTGACCCTTGTAATCTGTTTCACTTCTTTTTCTTGTCCCTTGATGCAAAAATTAAAGTTTAACTATAAATAGTGGTAGCTAATGCCATTGACCCCAGAGGTTAATGCTGGGGCTTTGGGGCTTCTTTCATCCCCCAGAGTTCCCCAGTGCTCGATGTGCTCAGGTTACATTACCACGGAGCACGAGGAAATGAGTTCATATCACAAAATGAAGCGAGGATTTCAGAGTGATCGGGCACCTATGTGGACAGCCAATGACTGAAAAGCAAGCAGACGAAGCAGGATTAATCCCCCTCCCACTTCCACTGATGAGATCATCGCATGTGATGAGAAAAAGTCTGAGAGATGGAAACTCGGGCTCAGGCCCAAAATGGCTGCTGCTACTGCTGATGTCCTGGAGGTTAACGCCGTGATTTCACTTGTCACACGTATGTTTTAATATGATCGACAAATCAATTCCAGATGATTCCACCTGTGTATGTATGTATGCGTATGTGTGTGTTTGTGTGTCTGCACTAGTGTTTCAAGCCCTGTGGCGATACTAATTGCTCTTTTCTATAATCCTTAAATTGTGGTGTGTTTACACTCACGTGGTGTAGGATTAAGATCAAGCTGGGCCAAAGCAAATATATATCTCATAAGTGTGCACATCATTGCACTGGCTTCCTGTTGCTCGCAAAACTCATTGCATAAGTAAGGAATAAAACACTTGGGGGTATGCTGTTATAAGAAAATCATCAACATAATACTATTACCACCCTGAAGTTGATTATTTTCACAGAAAAGTATGTTTGGAAGTGTTTTACTCCTCCTCCTCCTCCTCCTCCTCCTCTATTTCCCAATGATGTTTACATTTATTAAAGAATAACATGTCATACATTTTTATCCATTTATAGTTACCTTTAATGTTATGGAACATCTACGAAACAAGTTAGTTCATGTTCTCACTTATAGCATCTACAAACATTCATTCCCTCTCCAGCTTTGCTTTCTCTCTCTCTCATACTAAGCACTGACCCTAGAGACTCCTTCCATAAATATTAAATAAATACTGGTCTTTGGCTGGTGCTACACTCTGAGAAGAAAGAGTTCTTCAAGAGTTCTTTGCAATTATGCTGTTGTTCTTCTTTTGGCTGCTTCAGTTAGGGGTCACCACAGTGGATCATTGGTCCACACATTTGATTTGGCACAGTTTTTACATCGGATGCCCTTCCTGATGCAACCCTCCCCAGTTTTATCCAGGCTTGGGAAGTGCACTGTCTTGTGCAAACCCAGTGGTTGGGGTTGGTTCCTTGGCTAGGAATTGAACCCAGGCCATGGAGGTGAAAGCGCCGAGGCCTAACCACTCATCCTTCAGGGACCCAAGGGTTCTTTGCAAAGTAAAGGATTTTTAAGTTATTTTAATAGGGTTCTACTTGTAACCCTATCTAATAAGGAAACTGTCTGTTGTGTAGAACATTTAAGGAATCCTCTTGAGAGATAAGCTGAAGAACACTTGGGTGTAATAGACACTGCATTGTTCAGATGAGGGCCAGGGCTGCTGGACTGTCCTGGAAAGGTCAAGCACACACACACACACACACACACACACACACACACACATGCACCCTGGGGAGACGTGGAGACGTGGCAGCACTGGAGTAGAAAATGTTTTCTGCACAGTCAGGGGCCAAGGGGAGGGAGGAGAACAGGGATCCAGGGAATGATGGGAAGGTAAGGGAGGGTTGGCCCTCCTGGTGTGAAAGGACCCTAATAGCACCAGCAGCTGAGTGGTCTGGAATCGTCATCGGGAAGGTCACTGGGGTGCGTGTGCGTGTGTGTGTGTGTGTGGAATAGGCCACAGAAGAATCGTTACTCCTGGTGTCAGGTAACTCATGTTGCGGCTGTGAGTCGGTGCCGTGCTCCCTCGCTCTCTTTATGTCTCGTGCAGCACGGCAGGAGTTTCACACGTTAATGAGCATCCCATCAGCACCGGGTCTGCTAACACCATCTGAGCACTGCTCGAACACTGTGCTAACCACACTAACACTACACGTACATGTGTATTTAATCAACTGGTGGATGCATTTACACACTGTACAAAATGCGCAGGCAGAAGAAGGAAGAGCAAAAACTAAATAATAAATAATAAAATAATAAAATATTGACGGATTGTTGTGATCTGGCCTGATACAAAGCAGAGGTACTGTTAGCATTTCTCATGTGAAGGCACATCACATCAGTGTGTCGCACACTACAGGATGATTAAGTCATATGCAGTTATAGGAAATTAATCAACAACGGAGTGATGTGATGCGGCCCGATGCAAAGCGTAGTTACAGGTATCCAAACTCCAAAGTTACTCCAAAGTATTTTTCGATAGCAGAATGTTCTCCTATACTTCTTATGCATTCATTTGCAATTTATATTTAATGTTGAGGAATGTCTATGAAGCAAGTTATCACTTAGGTTATACCAGCTGTTCCTTCACCAGCCTGTCCTTTTTCTCTCAAACAAAAATATGCTTGCGTTTGTCATGTTACAGGGAAAGCAGAAAACACAAGGTCCTCTGTCCTGAGGTCAAATTCGAGAACAGCACTGTGGTAGAATTGATTTATAGTGTCCAAGCGGTCTGTTCGGTTACTAAAAGGATGATTTCAAACCTAAGTGGGCTCTGAAGTGAAATGAATCAGATGTGGTCGTGTACCATACGTACCGCTAATATAGTTCTGACCAGGGATAAAAATGTCCCAGTGGTCATTCAATACTAACCCCAAAACCAGTCCAATGGTCAATAAAAAAACCAGTCCAATTCCCAAAACTCAAAATCTGACCTTCGAAAACTATGTATTGAACTCAAAAACCTTGACTGCCATTGAAAAATATATATCTAATTTACTTTATATAATATTTACATAATAAGTTGAAAAATTTTGATTTGATATAATTCATCTATGTCCAACCCCTAGTCTGTGGACTAAAAAACAATACACAGAATGGAGGAAAACAAAGGGCCTGGCAACCAGGGTTCTAACAGTGTAGTGTTTTTGGAGTGGAGAATAGATATTATTAATGCAGGAATGTTTATGTTTGTTTTATACTTATTTAAACAAATTTTGTAACAGACAGCTCCCAAGTCGTGCAAAGTGTTCGTCTGTCGTCAAGAGATTGCCAGTTCGAATCCCAACTATGCCATAGCCATCCGTAACCGGGAGCCAAGGGAACAAAATTGATATCACCATGGGAGGGATGACATTACTGTCTCTTCCCTGTCAGTCATCACAGCAACACTAGCCAATCATGGGAAACTGTGAGCTCATGTATGCGGAAGAGGGCAGATAGCGCCTTCCTCCAGGTATGTTACGCTGCTCTTTGATGCGGCAGCAGTTTGAAAAGATGTATTTGGCTGGCTTCAGGTGTCGCAGTGCACGTTAGCCTTCATCCTTCCCAGTTGGTAGCCATAAGAGATGTAACGCAAAGTAAAATACTGTTTCGGTAATCAGAATGTCAAGTAAGATCTCATCAAATAGTTTCGCTAGGAAACAGCCATCTTTGGGAGTTAAAAGCAAAAAGTTTTCTCTTAGTGCTCTGACTCAGAGAAAATATCCAGAATTCCAATCACTATTCCCCAAGTAGTGGGTAGTAGAGCCATACATTCTTACAGCACCTTTGACAAACATTTATTCCAAAACAGTGAGAGAGCGAGGGTGTGAGAGAGAGAAAGAGAGAGAGAGAGAGAGAGAGAGAGGAAGCTCTGGCAGTTGCCAGCGTCGTCCCACCCAGAACACTGTACAACCCCTGGAGTTCAAATAATTCCAAGGTCATGTGGATTCCTTTCTTTTTCACTCTTTCTTTTTCTCTTACTCTCCTTTCCCAAAACCAGGGTTATCCAATTCCAATCCTGGGGCGCCAGTACACTTTGGTGATTTCCCGTCCCAAAATCCCCCTGACCCAGGTTTAGTCAGTGTGTCAAAACAGCAAAACATTGAATTTACAAAATGTGCTGGCCTTTAGCTTTCAGGACCATAATTCTGGACACACTAGAGGAACTCAAGTGCCTCTTCTATGTCTCGCATCATCTGCATAATATGTTCGGATTTTAGGCTGGACTTAAATGTAATGATCTTCCCACATTATCTTGAGGAGCGTCCACTCACAGTCCTGTCCTCTTCACCCACATCATACATATTTCACATTTATAGCTTTTATAATGTGGCAACAGGAAGAAATTTGTTTGTGGAAGTTCTACAACATTAAATGTAACTGTATGTCATGCTTGTTCATGAGAAATTTTACAAGATCCAAGGTTCCCAGAGTCAGGATCATTAGTTGTGCGTTGAGATAGCGTTATGGGTTTCACTGAAGGACAATCTAGGACATAAAATCTGTTTCTATATCTGCTGTCTCTCACATTTTCACTATCAGTTAGGATTGTATAAATCTCATACCATGGCTCAGGCATTAGAGAAAACTGTGAAAAAGAGAAGAATACTCATAGAAGCAGCTCACCTCAAAGCACCTTAGTCAAGGCCAAAGATTTGGACTAGATTAGCCCAGACGTGACTTTGAGAGCAAGTGTCTCATCTGGAATAAATAAGGTTCAGAGAGAGCAAGTCATTATTGCACAACAAACCATGATGGACTGATGCAACTTTGACACAGACTAGTTACTAATGATATTGTTTTGCAATAATGACTTGCTCATTCTGAATTATTAGACCAAAAATATGCACCAGGAGACAACTTGGGAGAGAGTAAAAATGAATGTTTGCTGGCAGCTAACTGGCAGGACGTAGCATTTACAGCCAAACCACTTGGTGCATGGTTTTACAGCGTGTTATAATTCAGACCATCACAGGGATTAATCAAAAACAATGGCTGCTTGTTGACCCGTAAGAGCCAAGTATCATTGAATGGAGGATGATTCAATGGCTGTTTCTGGGCTGCCCGTGTCATATTTTCAGACCGCCAACTGTGCAAAACAGCGAAGAGCCTCAGCACTCTGCAGGGAGGAATGCTCATTTTTAACATATATTTTCTTCCTCATGGTGCATCTTCATCCTAGCATTTGAATGGGACTTTCTCTGGATTCCCCAAATAAACTTGGTTTATGGGCTGTTAGTGACATTCATGACTCAAACTGAGTCACTGTAAATTCCTTAATAGCATACTACAGTGATTGTGCTATGCTAATCACTAATGCTCACACACACTCCGCCACAATGTATGTTCCTCCCTTTCCTTAAGAGAAACCATTTGGGCAATTTGAAATCACTTATCTTCCATTGAGTCAGCAGCTGTAGTGGCCATGCTAATGACCTTAGGCTTTCAAATACACTCTGTTTATTGCCCTTTTGGAGATTGTTAATTGCAGTGAGAGTTTGGTGTCTAAGCATTAGCATTTAGCATGTTCTTCCTCAGGGCTGCCAATCTTTGACTTACGTTCACGATCCTCAATTATTTTCATTTTTTTCATGTAGCACCTAAGAGGTCACAATATAATACAACGTAAATCAACTAATATCAGCTACAGTCTTCCAGTAAAGGAATAAAACTGTTTATAGCTGCTGAGATGTAAGCAAGAACAGGAACTTAATAACATTAAATGTAACAATAAATGGCTAAAAAGTAGGATATGCCATTCTTTATTAAGTAATTATTTTAAGTGTCAGTAAAATGCTGTGGTAAAAGAAGAATAAAACACACCATGTCATGCTGTTACAGGAAAATAATCAGTGAAGCAGAGATACTGGTACCACACCAACAATGATTATTTTCCAATAACAGCACATCCCGTAGTGTGTTATTCCTCCAATAGCACAGCAATGCCAATACCATAATACTAACCAATACTAAAGTATACACAATTTGTGTACAAGTATGTGTTTGTTAATGAGGCTAAACATCTCAATTTTGTTCCTTAAACCTATTCACCTATACAAAGGAATTAGTGTGTCTGTGTGAAATAACAGTTCCCATGCTGTTCCTTTAACACAAATGTTAGTCATTCACTCTTTCACACCACTGTTCTAATGAAGCGTCATGTCTATTCTGTCTTTAAATGTTTATTTACATGCTAATGAGTTTCAGCACTGACGCTGCAGTAAACAAGCTGAAACGGTTTTATTTTCATCTTTTTTTTATTTTGGTATATTTAATATGTTTTTATATATATATATATATATATATATATATATATATATATATATATATATATATATATATATATATATATATATGTGAAATAATTAATTTACTGAAAATTTACTGAAATAAATAACTTTTTATTTCTCTTTCTCTCTCTCTCTCATATATATATATATATATATATATATATAGGGACAAATAAAAAGTTAATTAAATGAAGTTTATGATATATAC